TCAATAAGCCTGGAAATTGGTTGTCCTTAAATATCGTGAAACTATCTATCATCCAATTCTGTTCAAATTTGGCAGAGTTTTTTTGTAGCAGTAGGTGGCTAATCCAGTCATGATTGGATTAATTGAAAATTGGGTTTCCAAAAACAGTAGCACGACCCTCTTCCGGACGTATATGTCTATAGGAGAACTTTTCGACTAAGAATCACCTGATAAATCACCCGTTGAAGTTTAACCACATATTTCCCAAGCTCTTGTTCAGTAATAAACTTTTTTCATTGTTTATAGTATTTTACGAGAAAGCTTATGTTTCGAAACAAAAATATATGCCTAACCCAACCCAAGCTTTCCTAGACGAAAACTGGAGCATCAGGCCACCTGCATTCGACTCCATCAATCTCCACCAACTAAAAATTCGCCGTCACCGTCAGAATAAATTCAGCAGCTCTGAGGGTGTTAATCTGCGACATAAATCCATTGTTGCCTATTTAACTCTTTTAATCACAATTTCATGCAACGTCATACCTATTAGCGTTTAGCGAGCCACCCTTCCAAAAGGGTGAAAGGCAGTGCAAGTGTTCCGGTACGTCCAGTTCCGATGATGAAATATGATTGTTTACCAAACTAGAATCCTATTACGGGGCACTCGATAGCAATATATCACATTTGGGGTGGGGTGACAGATTCTCCTGATGTATCGACGATGAACCTGCAACCTGATTGATTAACCTACCCTGACAGAGGAGATAATAATTGTATATAGCATTCTTTTTGCTTCACCTTGTGAAAATATTTTGAAATCCACAGTTACCCTATCTGTTCAAGAATTACAAAGTATCTGCCTACTTCTTTCAAGTTTCCACTGTGTAAATACATCTTTAAGGGATTACATTGTTATTTCTTAATGATTCATTCCATCTTTCAATTATAATCTTGTCCTACTTATATATCAAATCCAAGGGGTAACAATTCTAGAACAATAGAAGTGTCTCGAAAGGAATACTTGGGTCCTGTTGAAAACTCAAAACTTTTACTTTTTACGTTCATCAGATAAGTATAACATTTTGTGGTCAAAATGTTTCACTTAGCAATTATGAGATTTTTTCAATAGAAACTTTGCCCTGAAATCCTAACTTCCATCCCACGCAGGCATGAAAATAAATGCTGCAGGCCAAATCGTTCAATAGCAAGATTAGTCACAGTTCAAAGCTGCTACACTGAAAAAAATTGTGAAATTTCACTCAAACTTCACTCAATAATGTCTTAATTTCGGTCCACACCCGATTGAGTTGAAAATGCACTCTACTTGACTGAGTGAAATGGTAATTCAATGAGTGAATATAAGGAAGAATTGAGTCAATATTCCCAGTTTATATTTCAATGTTATTTCAGTTTCGAGATTTCTTGAGTGAGTTTTAACTCATTTTTGAGTGCCAAGAACATTTATTGAGTGAGTATATGCCCATTATTGAAAGCTTTTGTATCCAAAATGAGTACATTTATACTTTTTTTGACTGGTTTGATGTAATATCGACTAAATATGATATAAATTACATAAGTTTATTAACAATCAAAGTAGAATTCAATACAATGGATATCCCGATGTACTTCTAATAAAGAACAAAGCTAACACAATTTGAAATCATCACTATAGCAAGTTCGTTGACAGTCCTGTGTGACAGTCACATCAATCTGCAGACAAAAAATGCATATAAACAGCTGATTCAAAATGTACGTTTCAAACAAATATTTTATAGATCTCATCAGGAATGATGAATCAGTTTTGGTAACACTTTCTCAATTAAGATTCAATATACCTAATTTAGAAATAATATGATCAATGAAGACTTCATCTACTCATTTCTGATTTCGAATACTCTGATTTGATTCATTTTCAGTCACTATGAATCAACGGCGATATGGACTAGGTACCTATTCAACAGAGGAATAGGTGTATTATAGTGCATCTAAACTTCAAAATAAGGTAATCGGATATGAATCAATACTTTATATACTATCCATTGAACAGAATATAAGAATCACACCATCCAAATGAATATTTGAATTATTTGATAGAATTCACGATCATATCAGCCATGTTGTTGAAAGCCATAATGTATTTTACTCAATTAAACTTACCCGCAGTAGGTTCCCAAACTTCACAGATATAATCATGCTAATATAATATGTTTTCTGTTCGTAGTTGCAGTGAGTACTGCTATACTATTATAATTCACTTCGCTGAAATGGAAAGCATACGATGACAGGATTGTTATGTGCACTAAACTTCCATCATGACTGACGCTGCGTTATCAATTGGACAAAAGGGCCTCTGCTTACTCCCGATCTGACTTGAGTCTTCCTTTCGCTGATGACCAGAGGGATTAGGACATTCCTGCACTTCAAAGTTCTTCTTTTAGAATTATAACATAATATTGTGGTGACTTAAAACAGTCGACATGTTCCTCCCAAATTCACTGTACACTATTTGCACGTTGACAAGGGACTGAGACATGCAGTGGGATGACTGAGACAGTAACAATATACTGCGTCGACCCTTTTACCAATTATTTGGTGAAATCGCTCGAGAATAAGTGATTCTCACATGTTTCATCCAATTATTGAGTAAAATGCCACTCCAATATGGTTTTCTATAGTTTGTTTCATTCCAAAATTGGTGCTATTCAATCAAAGCCATAAACATTGTCATTATTGGAAGGAATTGTGTAAGTACCCAATTTTCATCGAACATTTACTCAAACGTTTCAGTTTGTGCATCCGAAATTCCTATTTCCAGGTGTCCGGAACTCTTTAATTTCGATGACTTCGCCATGCTACATGATGTCGTGCCACATGTCAAATGCTGTTGAAAAGGATCCCGACCTTTTTCTGTTTACGGGACAATTAAACAGTCCACACCGGGTCGAATATCATTTGACATCGGAGAGTTGTAAACACACTCTGCGAGGGTGATGACGTTTTGACACACGCTCATTTGTATTTTTGTCGGTTTAATGAAATTCCTAATAGACTCCAATACCAGACACCTACATTTCGAGTTGAATGTTCCAGAAAAAATCCTTTATTCCGCAACCGACACGAAAGTTGTCCATTTTAATACTAAAATTAGCTCTTATTCTTATTGAATTGATGTCTCTATTATACTGACACAAAAATAGGTATGTTGCTAGGCAACACATTTAGTTCCTATAGGAGCTTTAGTCGAACTTCAGCCCCTATATAGAAACCAAAAAGGATGTACTAGAGGTCATCAAGAATAAACATTGGACGACTTTTGTGTCGGTTGCAGAAAAACAACATTATGTTACGGTTGGATATTTGGGTTGGGAAGCATGTTTCCGATTTCAGCAGATTTGAAATTTCTGACCCATGCTGGAGATTTAAATACACTTTATTATAATTAGGTATTTTTGATTCGATTAGGGAAGCCTTCAAGATCCACATACTTGCTTGATCTGTAGTTCATTCGTTATTCTCGGGATGGATAACTTGTTTTTGAATGATCACGGCCAGCAATAGTTTTTTGTCTCAAACAACGATATTGTTCACCTCCATTTGATTATCAAGCCAAACACAGTGGAGTATGGAGAGAAATGAATAATCGCTGTTATTATTGTTGATGCAGGCAATTTCAATCTGGTGGCTTTCACCGTTTAGAAGTATTGCGGAAAAATTATCAAAATTTTTTCAAATTTGGAAGGATATATATTTCCCTCAATGTACACTTTGGGCCATTTGCTTATTCATCAAATCCATACTTCTCAATGTACTATCTATTCTGAGAATTTTCCTGGTTTTCTATAGAAGAGAGAAAAAAAAACTTGCTCCGGTGGAGATGCGAAACTATACTCTCCTATGGTTGAATTTTCACAAACCTAGATAATAATTATAGGTATAGCATAGATCTATGGGTATAGGTTGGGTCAGAGGGAACATTATATAAATATGGATACAAGAATAACAAGAATATTCTGAGAATATATCAAATTGAATGTTCAGAGAAGAGAATGTTTGTTGCAGGATGAAAATATTCTATGATCATTCCGAGAAGATTCTATCAGAATATTCTGAAATGAGTATACATAGTTATAAAGGGTGTATCTAAATAACACCGAAAAAATTCAAAGGGTTATTCCTTGTGATATTTTAGGAAATAAAGTTCATAAGTATAAACATGTGTTCTAACTTGCCTCGTTTCCTAGATACAGGGTAGGTATATCAATATTTTCATGAAAAATCTTCTTTCTATTCATTTCTCGAATGTCTTTTTATCAATTCAAATAAATCGTTGTGGTTTTGTCAATAGTTATATGGAGCATCTTCTTGTGCGATTAGATTCTAAATAATATTTCCAGTAGCGTCACAGTGGGTAAATTTATCGGTTTTTCTGAGTTTCATATTTTTATTAGATTGCACTATTGTAATAACAACTTCTTCATTCCCTGTGTGATTTTTGTATCTAGCTTAGTTTTTGAGGAAACAATAAAAGTTCGATTTGACTCCAAATTTCAATTTATAGGTGTTTTCAAGGCTTCCATTGAGATTACTCAATAATCCCAATTAGAATCATTATAAAATTTTGGGGCTTTCTCAGTCCCCATCCATACTGAATTTGGGCATCATGTAAGCTTACACAGGGGGGTTATGAATAAGAACACTCAATACTTCCAACTTCAACATCCTGTATCTCAAAAACGGAACAAGTTAGGACACATGTTTACATGAACTTTATTTGCTAAAATGTCACAAGGAAACACACCTCCTGAATTTTTTCGGTGTTATTCAGATACACCCTGTATATTTGAGCGAATTGTAGCCCTTTCCTCCGGTAGTTTCGGGATCTATATTGAGAGGTATTTCAGTCTCCGGGTTCATAATCCACTATAATTCCATGAGAAAGAGCAGAACAAACAAGAACATGTGAGATCCAGCCTACCAAACATCACAACAAGCAAAAAAATCTGGCGAACATCAAACTTTACCCATCATGCAAAACAACTCGTCAACCGAAAATGTCTTCCGAATCGAACACAAACTGAAATGTTTATCCAAACCCAATCAAGTTTAAAACAATCGAATGATGCTCCGCCATGCACGCGATTTCGCGAGGAAAACGCTCGCACATTTCCTCGCCTCCTGGCGGCATTTTCCGCCATTTCTCGCTTCCCCCACCACCTCTTCGTGAGGGGCGAGAGGGCGGGGCTAGCTGACAGGCCACGCCTAGGCGTCGCGACGCCAATGCCAGTCGACGTTAGACGACGCCGACGGCGATCGCCGGGATTCATTTTCCCGGTTTTATGTGCGTTCCGAAAAATGGGCATCGGAGGGGTGGAAATTTCCACCCGAGCGGTGGGAGTATATATATAAGGTGTTTCTTGATTACGTCTGGAAAATTCGATCAAAAATCCTCAAAAATCTTCACGTTGAGAAAATAGGATGAAATGACAGACAAAAATGAATGGCGTTATACAACTTGACTCACAAATACCTTAGGAACAAAACAATCGGGAGGTTTTCTATATTTAGGTGCCTATCTCACTGTGAAGTTTGTAAAAAATTGATATATAAGATCACATTTCACTTCAGAGAAAAATAAATAGAAGAGGAACTCATTGCCTCCTCCACCATTCCTATATGACGTACTTTCTGAAAATCCACATTCACACTTCCTGTGACAGTACGACGTTGCCTACATCATCAATATATCTAGATTCCCGAAAATTGCCCTTGAATGCATTATAACTTTATCATAACAGCAATGGGATAAAATAGGTTCTTCAATCCAACTTTGTCAAGTATTATGAATAATTCCAATGAATTTCCTATTGCCTGAATGGACTTGATAACTAATAAAGATAAATTATGATATTTTGCGATAGTATCTATAATTTTTCAATATCGTTATATCACAATATGTTATTCATAACTTGTCAGTCATTTTTTTGCTAATGAATTTGTTCCTTTATAAAACGGATCTATTTTCTAGGAAAGTTGCAGGTTATATATAGCAACAGCGCCTTATACTTCGAGGCCGTCGACACCACTCAAAATACTGACAGGCACAACAAGAGGAAGGAGCCATGAGTGTCGGCTTCATTCTGTTTTGACCGATTGCAGTAAATTAGGAAGTATAGTATCATTGAATGTAGCCGATAGTGATTCATTAATGCAATGATATTTTCGTTTAGGATCGAGCTCTATTCGAGATATTTCAATGCATAAATAACAAAACCATAACCTGTCAGAATGAAGCCAACTACTCTCTGTATTCCTGCTCCGAGGGCATTTGTGGTTATGTTTGTTTTTGTTTACCAGTTTTACTCCTTCCTCTATTTTTTTCAGTAGTTTTTCATTCGTTAGCTATTCGATAGCAATATTCTTCACCATCAGCTATTTTCAGACTAGATTCAGAATGTACGCCACAGATTATTGCCGCCCCGAAAATTAGACATTGCTTTATTTTGAAAATGAAAACGACTTGGACTTTATCGGTCGCCATTCTGTACAGCGTGGATATGAAACTGGGGAGTTCCGAACTTATTTTATGGAAATTCAGCTGAAGGTAACTTACCCAATGGGGAGTGTACGTTAGGTAAAGAAGTTACACAGACTAGCTTAAGCTAAAGTGTACTCGGGCATGGCATCATGAATAATACTGTCGTATCCCTAGATAAATCATGAAAAAATTTCAAAATGGATATACATATAAAGAAATACATTGAGAATGCGCATACTCTATGTGATAAAAATATCAATTCTTTCTCGGTTTATTTAACAGAAAACAACTATACTTTCCTGACATATAGCTACGTCGAACATTGTATTATATGTGTTGAACATCCAAGAAGAGAGCTAGAAAAATTGAAATCCTTTGAAATTGAAAATGGACAATCTCTCAAATCTGATAAATAATATATGATATATTAGGTATTAGGTTCAAAAGTTCAATAGTTAACACAAAGAATCATTTATTATTATACAGAGGATGTTTCGTAATATGTGGGACGCACTTCGAGGTGATAGGGCGTCTCAATAAGAAAATAAAATAGTTTCAACAATCAAAATTCGTTTGCGAAGATCAGGCGGGCGTTAAAGTTGAAAATAAAAAATAATCTCCTTTGAATTTCTAGATATACGCCAAACAAAAATTCTTGATATTCTGGTGCATAACTCAGTACCAGAGAGTGATTGAATCGGTATAGCATTATTTAGTCAATCTGACTCCCAGTGGCACCGTTAAGGGGTATTGATGTGTGATTTTTCAGAAAAAAACAGGTGCGGCGATGAAACTTTTCGAAATGTTTCATTGGAATATATGGAGATGGGTGCGATTTTGTAGAAAACAGCATCAATGTTGTGACTCGTAATGATACACTATTTAAAAAAAAAAGAAAAACCAAATGCAACTCCAAATTTGATGTAGATGTCCGAGGATGTCGGATAATCCATTCAATACATCTGATGTTCAGATTACTCTATAACAATGATAGGTATCATTTTGTAATAGTGACACATGCCAGTCACATTACAACCTATAATTTTTGCTACCACGATGAGCCATACTGGGTGGACATAAAAAAACTCTATAAATATTATCAAATACCTATACTGTCTGTAGGTCAATCGAGGAGGTGTTACATTCATTTTTCATGATTATTTGGGATTTTCTATCCTCGTTCCTACAAAATAAAAATATGAGTATTCTTTCAATATATTATGTGTTTAGGACAAATCAGATGATTTGCCCCAAAATGTCACTGCGTTTAACGCATTTCTTTATCAGGGAGTCCAGAGATTATAGTCTAAAAGAAAAATCCAATACCTCGTCATCAGTGCCTTGGAAAAAAGTTTGAAGAGAATAAGAAATAAAGATATATGGAAAAAATATCGGATTTTTACTTTTCTCTCTGTGAGCATGGAAGCAAGAAGAAAAGACATATCAATAAATCAAAGCTAACTGAACATATCCTTACTTACCTACTGAAAATGGATATCAAATAACATCCTTAATTCCTAAGTTATTGAAAATTGATTGATTGGACCTCTGAAAATAAAAATTATCGACGTGTCCGAGGTCACCAATAAAATTGAAGTCAAGTGTCCGAGTTTTGTTACATCAAACCCTCCTCAGAATCAGGAAGTTCGAATGTAGATCTATGAATGTAGGTTACCTACCTGTACCTATATCATTGAGAATTCACCCTAGTGTAGGTAGGGTAAAGTAAGGTTATCTCGTGATATTCTGATGAAACTGTAGATTTTTCCATGAAAAATCAAAGGAAATCAATATTCGAACTCCGGTAGTAAACTTACAATACTTAGGCAACATATTCATGAAAAATTACATTGATTATCAAAAATCCTGAATTTTTGGATGGATTTTTGTTGATGCGGAAAAATGAGGCAATGTTGTGATAGGACATATAATGTCGTGATATGGGTAATTTAATGTCGTGATAAAATGCAAATGCGTACATTTCATTACAATTCAACATGACACTCATTTATAATTACAATCACTGGTGCCTGTTATCTTCTAGGTCTTCGCAGGTATTGCACATGTACACATCTTCATCATCTTGGAAGTCAGTTTGACAGGTTGTATGGTATGGAGTGAGACAGAAGGAACATTGTACCCAATTGGCGCCAGTTTTCCGTTTGACATCAAAAGAAAACTTCACCTCACATTTTCCGCAAGTCCAATCTTCGTCTTCTTCATCATTGGTCCTAGAGGAGCTGGGAGCTTCAATTGTAGTTGATGTGGAAGCAACTGGACCATCTGAGTCTGTATCCGCATCGAAAGTTGTTAGCAAGCGGGCCCGAGAGTCCCCCTTTCTCTTGCGTGTTGATATTTCTCTTCTCTGCACATTAGGCACTTTCAGAATCTCGTCCTCCGTCAGGGAAGGTGTAGAGCTAGAAGTTGTTTTGACAGGAGTAGATGCTTCTGACGTTGATAACAGTTGTATTTGCGGATCAGGAGCTGGCTGGTCTGTTAACATCGATGGTTTCAAAGCTTCTGGTGGAATTGCATTCCGATTGAAGGGATAGGCTCCAGATTTCTTGAATGCATTAATAATATTCATTGGTGTCATGCTTGCTATGAAAGGTTCGCTGAAAATCTCATGAAAGTTGTAACGGCTGGGTTTTTCAAGTGGATGAGCAAGCATGTAATTATTCAGAGCTTTACCCCAATGACTTTTCAGAGGCTTGTAAACACCTACATCTAATGGCTGCAATAGATGTGAGGTGTGCGCAGGAAAAGTAAACAAAAAAATTTGGTTGTCCTTTGCTAATTGAATTATTCCTGGATTTATATGGGAACTGTGGGAATCCATCAATAAAACAACAGGTCTGCAAGAAGGGATAGAAGCTATAAAGAATTCGAACCATTCTTTGAACAACTGTTCGTTTATCCATCCTTTTGAAGATAGCCTAGTTTTGGCATTGGGTAGAGCATTCTTTGCTAAATCATCATTCCACCGAACTCCTTTGAATATGACAAATGGGGGAATGAAGGTGCCATTTGCGCAGACACAGCCAATCACAGTGTGAGTATCTCCTCGTTCAGCGTAAGTTCTCTTATAAATGAATCTCTTACCAACCTGGCTGACAATTTTTCCACTCTTAACAACAAATGTTAGGCCAGTCTCATCAACATTCCATATTCTATCAGGCTTGTCCATGATATCTAGTTTTGTTAAGAGGTCTTCCAGTTTAGAATAATAATCGTCAATCATCGTTGGGTTGGCCATAGATGCTCTATAAGCTGAAAGATTTTCTGGAGTACGAAGTGATAAGTTATATCGCTCTTTGAACTTGGACCACCACCATTTGCTCGCTATTTGCTTCTCTGTATTGAAGAATTTTTCGCGGTTTATTGTTTTCGCTAGATCATATGCCAGTTTACGCACTTTCAGAACAGTCAGCCCAAATCCCAACTCTTGCATGGTGTTGATATAATTATAAATTTTCAATTCCAATTCCGGAGGCAGAGTGAATGGTCTTCCCAATTTTGGCAAAGTGGAATGCTCAATATCAGCATTGCCTGCAAGGAAGTCTTTCAGCGTCGACCAAGGTACACCAGTGTCTTTAGCTGCCCGATATAGACTAAAATTTTGATTCCGCACAAGCCGAGCTGCTTGAACTAAGCTGGCATGTTCATATTGTCTTTCTTTGCCTTTTTGGACTTTCTTCTTCTTATGAGTCATATTTCTACAAAAGAAAAGATACACAGTGAATGAAACCTATTGAACCAGCTTTGTTTACTTTTTTCCATTTCAAAATAGGTAGTAATGTCGTGATAGAAAAAAACAAAGATTCAGACCTCAAAATACTGAAGATATTATTCATACAAGTCTAAAGTGGCGTGATATTACAATAAACTACTCTATTATTGATTTAGAAAAAAAATATATTTTTTTTATCAGCAGTTGAATAGAATGCAGAAAATAATGGAGTCACACCCTAAGAATCTTGCTACGTTAGCTAAGGGTTTATAAACACCCCATAAATGGAATCAACAAAATTTAAAAGCTGAGCATCAACTACAATTCATAATCTTCAAAATGTGATATCACACATTGATCAAAATTGATATTTACCTTAATTACAACCACAAACGACACGAACGGCAATCGTAAAATGCAACGCACTCTGTGAGCAATGGAATTTGTTGTTTATTCTGAAGAGTGAGGCTGCAACCCGGAGTACAAGCATCTAAGTTGGTCAGCCAGCTGGAGTACAAGTTCCGCCATCTCTAGGACCATCGAGCAGGTAAATTTGAAGACAGGCAATGTCCTCAGAAATATTTCAAGAACTATCACGACATTGCCTATGTCACGAGATTACCTTACTTTACCCTATATAATCAAGGCGTTACGTGAATTTGGTGCTGAGCATAATGTTTGGCCATCAATATGCTAGGTATCATATGTAATGTATATTTTGACAAAATTATCAATTTGGCATCTCAGATACATGCATATACATGCTCACAATCCGGTTTTCATTCATGGTGCTTCATACTCAAAGCAGAGATGATATCTGGCTCAAAGTTTTCAACTGGGTTGCACATCAAGCTGCCACCACGATGCTGCCACCTAGACGAGAAACAAAGTATTAGAACATGAGGATTCGAGTAGAACTCTGTAACGTTCAATCAGACATAGTTCGAGAGTTAGTAATCAGCATGTAATCAGACTCACAACAAGATGACGACATGTGGGAGTATTCGCAAGGTTGGTAGAACTGATGACTATCTAGTTGTCCCCACGATTATATCTTTGATTAAAATTGTGGAGACGACTTTGTGTTCTGATGATTATATGCTAAATAGTCATGTAGGATGCTTGCAGAATGCAGAGCCAGCAAATGAGATGCAAAAGAATAAGAAGAAGACAACTTTTAACTCAGCCATGCTGACATATGACATATGACCACCGGCAACGGAGTCCGGACAACTGACACTGACAGAAAAATGACAAAGTGATAAAGCAAAAAGCAGCAATTTGCAAAATCAAAGCATTACAAACATTTTTTCTGTTGTAGGTTCAATATATTTTTTGAAGAAAGTACTGCCCCTAAAAGCTAATAAAATATGTTTCGCAACCAATACGACAGTGATGTGACCGTTTGGAGCCCCCAGGGCCGCCTCCACCAAGTGGAGTACGCCATGGAAGCAGTTAACTTGGGTTCGGCGACTGTCGGCCTCAAAAGCAAGACTCATGCCGTGCTGATAGCGTTGAAGAGGGCTTCCTCGGAGCTCTCTGCCTACCAGAAGAAAATCATCAACATTGATGAGCATATTGGAATCACCATCTCAGGGCTTACTGCAGATGCTAGGATTCTCAGCAGGTATATGAGAAATGAATGTCTCAACTACAAGTATTCCTTGGATACTCCGATGCCCCTCAATAGGTTGATTGGTTATATGGGTAAGTAAACAGTTCTACACCTATGGTTGATTTGTACAGGAATCAGGAATCATTTCTAAAAAAAAATCTGTTTGTTTCATTCAAAGTTGAACTTCATGTTGAGTCTCAAGCCTCATGAACATGATCTTGTGTGATTCATAATGCCTCACATAAGTCATTAGATGATTTTTACTTTTCTCTCTGTAAGGATGGAAGAACACAAGTACCTACAATATCAAGAAAAGACATATTGATAAATCAAAGCTAACTGAACATATCCCTACTTACTGAAAATGGATATCAACATCCTTCCCAAGTTATTGATGGTTGATTTGTACAGGAATCATCAGTTGTTAGTTTAAACCCATCAGAATATAATCTTTCTTAACTTCAGCTCTAAAAAACTTCTGTTTGTTTCATTCAAAGTTGAACTTCATGTTGAGTCTCCAGCCTTATGAACATAATGTTGTGTGATTCATAATGCCTTACATAAGTCATCAGATGAGTTAGAACTTTGACTTATGTCCTCTATTATGACCATATATTATGTTCATAGGTACCAAAGTCCTCCACAATATGTGAAAAGGAATACTAGTAGTAGTACTGGTGTAAATTTGAAACTTATACCTACCCAATAATAATCTTGTCACATACATTGAGTTTAGGATCTAGGTTAGAGTTGGCAAAGAAGCTACAATTCATAAATAATTATAGAATGTATTCAGCAAAAATATTCTTCATTTGTGAATTTGTGATAGCTCTCATCCAATACCTAGCTATCAATAATCTATTACTATTACTACTACTACAACAACTACATCAGAGCACACTGGTCAATGTAAGAACCAACCACTCATGAATTTTTATATCATAATGTATTCTTTTTTTTCACATTTTGACTGACTGTATTCACTATTTCCTGTATTTCCTTTATGAAACCAGAATAATAACACAACATTCTCTTTCCTCTTTGATATGGCTTTGAATAAATTGAAAGAGTAATTCATAAAGAAATTCTGATTTGTCCTGCTATTTATTTATGTATTTCCAAAGTAAATTGGGGCAGCTGGTTCCTTGAAGTTCAAATGGACCAGGTGCACATATACCAGGCAGTTCTTGATTGAGTTGGTCCAACTGAACTTCAAAAACTATAACTTATTGAATTTGTGGACTGCAGAAAACACAAACATATTTCTTCAAATGCATCATTTAATACAGTTTCTCTGTAGGTTTCTAATGACTGACTAATCTAGAATACTAGTTTATCCTGGATAAATAATTGATAATTAATCTTCAATCATAAAGTGATCACTCATTGGAAAGAGAACTACATTTTAATCTTGATTTCAATATTTCTAATTGAGTTTCTTATCAATTCAGAAAATAAATATAAATATTAGAATACAAAAATTATACCCAGAATATGAAAATAATATTTAGAAACACAGTCCAAAAATAACATATATCATATATCTCAATTTTTATACTGGATGGTTAAAATTCAAGGGCCACCATTGAAATCTCTGAAACTATAAGAGATCAAAGATGGTTGAATTAGAGCAAATTTGCACACTTATGTGACTAAAAATATGCCGTCGATAATTTTTTCAAATACCTAGTATTTCTGGAGAGATATGCAAATACAGAAATTTTGGTAAATTATTTTAATTTTTCTTTGGTGTTGTTTGTTGGAGAATAACAAAATTGAGAGCACATGACATTTTCAGATTCACCATGCTATTATTATCAATGACCAGCTGCCCTGCCCGGCTTCACAAGGTTGGTGTTTGCATTTTAAAACAATGAGACATTTGTTGCAGGCATTCTGAGCTATGCTTATATCTACAGTACATATATTTTTGTTATTTTTTTAAATTCTTCATGATTACCTATAGCTACTATTATATACTTAAACCTATTTTCATTCTCTCAGTTTCTTTTGTTTTTTTTTTGTTGTTTTACCTACTTACTGAATGTGAGACCAAAAGTAGTCCTAATAATTACATAACTTCTGGATGGCTGAACCGATTGGGTTGAAACTGCATAATCTTGAGTAGGAATTGACTGGATTCGTCTGGTCATGACTAGACTTCGCCCATTTGCCCTCGGTATTATTGTTTTTTTTGTGAGGACAAATAAAGACAAATCATTATTATTATTATTATTATATCATTGAGTATTCAATCAGTGAGCACAAAAAAATATGTATTTCAGATAGGCACATAGCTCAGAAGGACTGCAACCAATGTCCGGGCCGGATATTATAAAAAGGAAAGATTTGTGTAGTGTTTTGTATTGAAACACAATATGAGTAATAAAGATTTATTACTTTAAGATTCCAACAAGTATCTCACAATCATGTTAGATGTTAGGTTAATCAGAATACCACCAAAAACAGTCCCTGTCATCCATCACTGTCTACATCATGTGTCATGATGTAAATATTCATAATCGGCAGTGGCTGTGTTGTCGGTCACGGGTAAGTAACATTGTAGGAAATTCCAAAATTTGATGTACTGGACTGATTTGGTTGAAATTGAGATGGACATAGGATACTTTTTATCCCTGTACTATTAGGAAATTCAAGATGGCGGATCCAATATGGCGGATTTTGTGATGATGAACTGATTCTTCCGTCAAAATTTGGAAATTCAAAATGGCGGATGAGTTTTGTAATTATGGTCCGATTGTACTCAAAATTAGTACTTATCTGGGGATTTTCGGGGCCAGAAATTATGATCCCTTCGTCAAATTTAGGAAATTCAAGACGGCGGATCCAATATGGCGGACATGTTTTGTAATTATGATTCGATTCAATTCAAAATTGGTATCTGTTTTTTTTTTGGGTCGGAAATTATGATTCTTTCGTCAAAATTTGGAAATTCGAGATGGCGATCCTATTCAAAATTGGTACTTGTAGGGGTTTTCGTGATCGGGGATGTGAATTATTTCAGTTAGTTCAGAATGAAAGAATGTCACTTTTGAATCCTCTGAACAGGCAACAAAATGCAACACTGTACCCAACGCTACGACCGCCGACCCTACGGCGTAGGCCTCCTCGTAGCCGGGTACGACGAACTGGGGGCCCACATCTACCAGACCTGCCCCTCCGCCAACTACTATGACTGCAAGGCCATGTCCATCGGTTCGCGCTCCCAGAGCGCCAGGACCTACCTGGAGAAACACCTGGAAGAGCTGCAATCCAGCTCACTGGAGGAGCTCATCAAACATGGACTTCGCGCCCTGCGGGACACTTTGCCCCCAGAGGTAATATTACCTGACTTGCTTTTTGCCTTATGTTTGAGTATAGAAAGGAAAGTTGTCTGGGAACCAACAATTCACTCTCCTGGTATAAGTTGTCACTTATGATTACATGAGAGCTTAATTTTTGTCCAAGTAAACTTGACATATATCAATAATAAATTTGTTGCCTGGCCATTTGAGGAAAAAAATGCCGCTGAAAGAAGTCCGTAGGACGAGTAACTGTTTCTGGTTGTTTCTTGAGTTGAATTACCTAATGGCAACAAAATTCAAATTATGAATGTCAAGTTTACTTGGACTAAGATAAAAGCTAGAGTGTGATTCGGCAAGAAAATTTAATTCATCAAACATTTGTTTATGTCTGGTTGTCATGCTTTCAAAAGTTAGATTCCGTTTTTGTCGCTGGAAAAGTTAGGACAAACTTTTTTCACTGTCATAATGACGAAATCACGGGGCTTGTGGGACTTTTCATACATGAATTCATCACCTTGATAATTTTATTTTGGGTTATTTCAAGCTTCTTGAGATGAGTTTTGGTATACACCACCACAACCTAGCCGGCTATACCTATATTATGTGAGACTCAACTAAAGCATATTAAACTGTTTTCATTTGTTTTGAATCAAGAATGTCTCTTATATTAGTCGAAATTTGTATAAAGTGTGTTGTGTGTCCTCAAGTTATTCATATCTGAGATACAGAGTGTCAAAGTTTGATTCTTTTTCCTGTATTTCGTGAATATATGCGATAATTAACTTGATAATCTAGTGAAATTTGGTGTCTCACTGGATTATCACGATTGTTTAGGAATTTATTCACAAAAAACCGAGAATCCAAATTTGACACTTATCTCAGAAATGAAACTTGCGGACATATGTTTATAACAACTTCTCTTCTTATTTTGACGTCAGCAATATGCTCCTGAAATTTTTACATGTACTTATGATACACCCTCTGTGTATTAAGTATTATATTTTCTTAATAACATAGTTCACAAATTTATCTCATTTCAATAGAGAAGTTCAACTAGCTTTGAGAGAGACAAAATGTGGCAAATGATGGATGGCTATGCCAGAAACGAGAAGAAATGCAGAAGACCATATTCACCTCAATATAAAAAGGTTATACATTTCACATAAAAAGTTAGTAGGTGCGGTGCCTCTGAAGTCTGAAGGTATATTCACACTGGCGTGACATGACTAAATTTCACTTTGAGTTCGAGTTCAATCTTAATATTTATTGTAACATACAATAATATGACAAATAAATGAAATGTGATCATCTTCTCACAAAGAAAACTTTAGCCTAACGTCGCGACATAAAATTAGGCAGGTGTATTATTGCCTCTAATATTAACCAATCAAAGCTTGCCTATTCTGACGGCAACATTTGAATACTTCTGAGCGGTTTGTTTTGATGGATGTGATCAATAAACACAAACAAAAAACGAATGAAAACCAATGAAAACAAAGTAAGCAGACCACTTTGATAGCTCCCAAAAACTCCGATAGGTGGCATACGCTTATCGCCCATTGTTTCCGATGATGTCTTCCTGCTTAGAATGGAAAATATCTCCATTTCATCCCCTTTTTAGTACTGTCAACTTGAAATTTTCATTATATTACATTGGAACCCTAAAGAAAGACAATTACACATTGGGAAGGCATATTATCTTTTTCGACACTAGTTGAACTTCTCTATTTTTGATCGATAAGGTGGATCTGAACACGAAGAACGTCGCCATCGGGTACGTCGGCAAGGGCCAGCCCTTCAAGATCCTCGAGGAGGAGGAGACCTCGCCGTATTTGGCCCTAATTGAGGGCGAGGAACGTAGGGGTGGGGGGGCTAGCGCAGAGGGGCCTGCGGATCCTTTGAGGGAGGATGCGGGGGACGACGGGCCCCAGGACCCGGTGCCGGCTGTTGCCATGGATACGACGGAGTGAATTCGAGGTTATGCTTGGAATTCTTGTTGGGAGAAGAACACTTTTTGTGTGGGTTTGTGGGTTTCCTTGGTTTGTTGCCGTGGCTGTTTCATTATTGATGGGACAGCCACGGCAAGGAAACATTGAGATATTTTTGCTATTTGTATTGGTAATTGTTCATTCTTAATATTGAGGTATAATAAAATGCTTTATTAATTAATATAATTGTTGTTTGTTATCCATATTCTTCAAATATGATTACTTTAAATAATGAGGAGAATAAAAGCAGGGTCCCAGCTCTGGCCGGTTGCAAATTCATTACTGCATAGTACATGGGACATGGGAGTCAGTGGAGACACCCCTAATAAGCATTTCAGAGATATCCTTCAAATTTTTCAATGACTTGACAATGATGGAAGTAAGATATGGTGCGCGCATTTGGCCATTATTACCTATTGAAAATTTCAGAAAAATCACTCGACCGCCTACTATGATTTCTCTACGTCTACAACGAGCGAGACGTTCATTCTACATTTTCCCGCTAGATGGTGATAATGCTATTGTTGCTGTGACGAGTAAAAATAGAATGGCAAATGGCATTTTAGGTACGCGGAACATATGCACCAGTGGGATTATCCAACTCTGAATTCGAAAAATCTGCGACAATTAAAAAACGACAGATATCATAATTGTGCAATGTCGCCATCTATTAGAAGATCGACGGAACCATTGCTCTCACTTAACTCTCACTGTTCTCGATTGACGTTTTTAGTCTTCTGCGCATCAAGAAAGCACGAATTCAAAAATGTCTAAATCGGTCTAGTCTATGATCTGGAGACAGTGCGCAACAAATAATCCATGCAGAAGCAATACAGAAGAATTATTCAAATAATTCAATACTTCCCGATATGATCCATGATCCATGGGGCCGTAAGGATGGAATGAAACAAATAATCCGTGGGTGTAAAGAAGTTAACGAAACATAGAGCATAAAGGGAAATTGCCGTTGTATGACAGAAATCGATATAAACAAATATTCTTGATTTTATTGATGTTCTCCCATGGATTGGTGAATATGAATGATATCTGTGTTTGATTTCTTGAACGATCTATCGTTTGATGAAGATGAATTCAAATGAATTTATCAACATGATGCATTACTCAAAGCATTTCAAAATCAGTTATAGAGTGTAATGAAAGTGTGATTATACAAAACAATGAAAAATGTTCAAAATGGATATTCACATGGAGGAAATCCACAAATAGTTGGACTGTTCCATAAAACTTATGGTTTACATGTTCAAATTCCTGTTATCTGGACCAAATACATGGGCACCAAAGGTATGGAGTTTTGAAAATGTGACAAATATTACTTCTTCAATTTTCTGATCTTTCATTGTTCTTACTGGGAGAGTAAACTTTGAGTATACAGTAATTTGGTTGATTGAATGAAATCCAGTGCATTTTGATGAGATAGTTGCCACCAGTCAAAATCAACAATTATCAGATAATAAATGTACTTCAGTGCCCCAGTCTCTACATATAGGTACTTTTATTGAAATAATTTAAATTTTTTCACAATAATGATACATATTCTCATAAATAATAATCCTAATCTTTTCCAATAAGTTCATCTCTTTTACTCTCCAGAATCTGTTCCCCTTGACTGATGAATCCATCAGCAACAGTTACAATCTGTGTTTCTACTGATCTAGCTAAGTCTTGTGAAATACCTTCCTTTCTCTTCACTTGTTTGATATATTTTGTTTGGACTTCCCTTATGCCATCTTTACACTTTACAAATAACTGTTTTGCATTCTTAGCAAGGTTTTCTCTATGTTCTTTGGTCACCCTGAAATATTTGGAATTTGTATAAAAACCTGAGTGTATAATAATATGTGTGTACAAACTAAATACTTTGGTATAGGTATGAATAAAGTTGTTCCATCTTGTTGTGGGTTGAGATTCATTCCAGATTTTTCTATTGCTTTCAAGGCAGCTGGAATAGCTTGTGGAAAAATTGACATATTTATCACTATGGTTTTGGGATTCTTCCTAACTATTTGAGCAAGTTCTTGTAATGTGTGCTCCTTCCCATCAACATTCACTGGTATCATCTCTAGGGACCCTGAAAGAAAAATATTCATCATAACAAATCTGAACTGCACTTCAAAAACTAAACAATTGTTTTTGAAGACCAGATGAAGTTCATTACATGTTTTGCAATAGACAGTAGCTACTTGCAGTTGCTGGTTAGTAAAATAACCATACCTGAAGTAGAACGTAATGATAAATGCCTGATGAATTCATCTTTCATTTGCTCTAGAATTCTCTGCATTTGGTTTTTCATCATTTCAATATTGATCGTTTCAGACAACTGTGTTTCATTGACTTCTACTTTGACTTTACCTAGTCAAAAAAATATTTTTGATAAACTCTGACCCCACTTGATTGCAATTAATTCATTATACCCTTTTCCTTCTTTCTATCTTTTCCTTTCGCATAATGTCTGATTGGCTGCAGACTAGGTGAAGTTCTCTTGCAAAAGTCCCATGTTCTATGGGGCTCAGTATTCAATGTTATGTTTTTCAGACAATTTAGGTTAGCAATGGACAAACTTCGACTACAACTGATTTGTTTAGATGATTGTCTAGTGATAGCATGTAGTACTGCCCTGAAATTATACATTCTTATATTTCTAAACACAACCAATATTTAAACATAACCGTAAAACAAAACAACAACATGGAACATAACCATTATCTTTTATCTTCTAATTTCATTCGTCATGTTGAAAAGGAACATAGTCGTAGTCGTCGTAGTCTTGTGTATGCTCTGAAAGAGCGCTTCGCGCACGCACTTCAGAAATGAAAAATGGAAATATATTTATTCCATCATTGTACTCACTACTTATTGTAGTGGGATAGAATTCGAACCCCGGACCGTTGATTGAGGTACACAACCAATATTTAAACATAACCATAAAACAAAACAACAACATGGAACATAACCATTATCTTTTATCTTCTAATTTCATTCGTCATGTTGAAAAGGAACATAGTCGTAGTCGTCGTAGTCTTGTGTATGCTCTGAAAGAGCGCTTCGCGCACGCACTTCAGAAATGAAAAATGGAAATATATTTCCATCATTGTACTCACTACTTATTGTAGTGGGATAGAATTCGAACCCCGGACCGTTGATTGAGGTACCTCAATCAACGCCCGGACCTTCAGCGTATCGAGACAGAACCATTACCAGCCATTACATGTTCTATTCTACTGACCATTGCATTTCTAAATTTTCTAGTCACTGTAGTCGTAGTCATATCGTCATATCTTCACTGTATAATCAAAATCATTACTGTATGTATACACCTTGATGTATACAGTGACTAGTGACGTCAGTGACATAACTAACTTACAATTATCTATCTTTTTCAAAAACAAACTAGAGTTTAGTCTATGATCTATATTATTCATCTACAGTGATATCAGTAATTCAGTAAAGCATTGAAATTGTGTGGTCAAGTCAACTGTATTCACTGTAATTTGTTGTGTTTAGTCCTGTCATCTATGAATATTTCCTCCACTGATTTGCACTGATGTGACCTGATTCCTGTAAATATTTACAGGTTTCCTCCAATCAGTTTACGTAAACAGTCGGCACCTGTGCTCGCGATCAAAGCTTCGTACGCAAAATATCAGATGGCGCCAGATGTAACAGTTGTCAAGGTTGGTAGAACTGATGATTATTATACAAATTATAATCAGTTCTACCAACCTTGACAGTTGTTAAAATTTCTAAGGTTTGTAGATTTTTGAAAAATTTCAGATCGAATACTTATGAAAAAATGATCATGGCAATGATTTAATGTTTCCATATTTATGTAGATTGACCTTTGTGACGATGAATGAAAAGAAACAGTGATTAGACAATTTTCCTCGATGGGGACACCTAAAAAATGTTAGTTTCAAGGACCGAACTGATGATATTTATCAGCTCCATCAGGAAAGCATTAGGTAGTGTTGAAATAAATCGATTGAACGAAAACCCAAACATGTTGAAAATAAATGCGATACCTATATCATTTTGAGCAATTTTTGTATAGCTATAGGTAGGTATAAGTAGTTTGTATACAAATATGTGATATTACTCAGGTGTTATTGATTTGAAATAGTTGACAGCTAATAAGTGTTTTTTCTGTAAAATGTTGTAATCAGTGAAAAATTATGGAAGACTGTTTTTTCAAAAGCAATTGAACAATTGGGTTTACTCATTCGATTATAGAATACAAATAAAAATAATAAATAGGTGATTGATTCTATGGGGACAAATGGAGTCGCCAGTGGTAACTACATTATGCGCGAGCGGAATAAAACTAAATTGATTCAGATTTCTCAGATATTGTGTGATCAGAGACGCAGTATTTTTTTTTTGGTATACCTACCATAACAGTTTGAGTTGAGATCATTATTTGGATATGGTTTTGCTACTTCTCATGAGGATAAAACTTTAAATAACAGTTATAAGTAGCTTCAAAAACTTCCCTGTGGATTATTATAATATTGATTATTACTATACAATGCTGACGTTTCATGTAACAATACAAACATTATTTATAAAGAATAAAATAGGTAAAAAGTTCAATTTGATCCAATTATCGACATGGGAACATTTTTGTCGTATACCTATCTAATAAAGACACATGTGATTACGTTATACTGACACTTGATAAAATTGTTTTGAAGTAAGTACTTATTTGAGTGAGCAGTTTACATAATTAAATAATCATACACTGAAATCATCAAATAATAATCTCAGTGGCGTAAGCCCTCCAATAGGGGGTTTATCTAAGAGGGCTAAAAATATGCATTTCAAGTGTCTTCCTCAGCAATGGAATTGACGTTTATTTTTGATTTTTCATATCATTTACTGAAAGGAAGATATTATCGGGTGCATGGGAAGTTCTCTAAGTGACACGAAATTTTTCGGAAACTGCTCGACAGGAATTGATTAACTATAGAAATGTCACCCTGTACATTGTGAAATGTCACTATGGTTGAAGCCGTGCGCGAAATTTCAGCTCGATCGGAAAAATTCGGAGAGTGGGTTGAATTTCAATCAATATGTTTGACCTACACAAGAAGCCGAATATAAGATGCCTATACCCATTGAAAAATTGCTTCCTGATCCGTGAGACAGCAGAGATGACAAGATGGTCTGGTATTATTAATACCTGTAATTTTGATTGAGGTCGGAATAAGACAAATAGAATTGAATCAATTTATCTGGAGTAGGCAGTGGAAAAAACCGAAAAAGACAATATTGCCCTACAGCGAGAGTGACGTGAAAAGATGTTTCTCGTTTCCTTTCTCAGGGACTTTTTGCGGGTCAAGACCCAAGGAAAAGATATATGTTTGTTAAATCGAAATGAATGAGCAGATCGGAAAAAGGACGAAGGAACGCTGTTTGAATGAAAGAAATTGGGGTAATTGAAATTCTCTGGGCATTTCTGCGGTTTCGATGTCATAAGGAGTTGGTCTTATAATCCATGACATTCCAAATAATAGTAGATGTTGGGATGGCCTATTCATCAGGATTCCTTATTTATGTCGATTGACGTATAGCAGGAGCCCAAAGGTATTTTGTCATAGTTATACGATAGTTACATGATGCGATCACCGCATGATTTTTAGTTTTGAACGTTGTACTTTTCCGTACGATTTTACTTTTTCGCATTATCTTTACTTTTCCACACGATTTCGAAGGAAAAACAAGGAGACATGTAGTGATTACTGTTGGCACCAAAACGTATATCCATAGCAACAGTCGCTATGAACTAACAGTAGTGGCAGTCAACAATAGTATATTACATAACTATTGTGAAAAGTGACGAGTTTTGTACACTATTTTTCCTACGACCACAAATATTTATATTATAAGTCATAAGTGTTTATAAGACCAGAGTAGGGATCATGTTCCTATGCTATTAATCATATTCGATCACATGAAGGTGATATCATTATTATTTAATTTTACTCCAATATTTGAATGACATCATTAGTTTAACGTTAACTTAACATTAACTTAATATGAACTCAACATTAGCTCAACATTAACTTAACATCAATTTAACATCCACTCAACATCAACTTCACATAAATTCAACAGTTTCTTAACAATAACTTGAAATTAACTTAACATTAACTCAACATCAACTCAACATTAACTTAAAATTAACCTAACATCGACTTAACATCAAATTAACATTAACTCAATAATTATTCAACATTAACTCAACATTAAATCAACATTAACTCAAAATTAACTTGACATTATCTTAAAATCAAATTAACATCAACTCAATATCAAATTGACATTAACTTCACATTAATCACTAAATTGCCAATACATTGACATCAATTCAACTTTCAATAGAAATTAACTTGATTGCAACTTTTCATCAACTTAACATTACGTCAACATTAACGGTAATAACTCCATTAACTTGACCATGACTCAACTTACCATAATTCAGCATGATAATCATTCATTGGTACATCATGATCTACAGACCCTGTTACTGTGCGATTTTCGAATATTTCCACCAATGTGAGTTTTGCTTTCGAACTTTCTAACTGTTATATGTTGTCATAGTGAAACGAGTCACTTTCTCAATAACAAATCAATCTGTTTTGTGCTGTTTTCATAGGTGGTCGTAGGAAAATAAGCATTATTTTTAGTGCATGAAAATATTGTACGGAAAAGTTACTTTACCGCACTAGTGCTGGAAAGTTACTTCCCGGCACTATTTTTGTATCGTGGAAAATAAGGATATTTAGGGCTAAGTAAATGATCCATGCAACTATTCCGTCTTATGTGTCATTTTGTAGCATTACTATAATATATTTTATTAAAAAACATTTTTTTTCATAAATAATATGACACTCGTAGGAAAAATAACTATTATGTAGATCATAACATGTTCTGAACCTATGAAATGAAATAATTTGGTAGGTATAGCAGCTACCAACACAGGGTGTTTCTATATTTCCAATACTAGCGATTTCTTCCTACGCATTCAGTAGCATATCTACTCAACTTTTCAGGATGTCGTGAATTTCGAAACCCTCTCATCAACATGACTAACGACTGCGACAGACAACTATTCAGAAGTATTTATTTTCTATCACTTTCAAGTAGAGCTTCTATCATTCGACGTTTTGGTGTGCCGCCATCAAAGTCTCAGCGAAAATATACCTAAAAAGTATTGCGGAACTCCGGGAGTATAATTTATAACTCCAGCTGAAGACCTCAAGTTTCTCAAAGGCTGCATGAACTCAATTCGAAGTTAACATGGTGTTAAATTATTTAACAGGGCGTTCAGAGATAAATTGAATTGGGCAAGTATAGCAGTTTTCGGTGTCGACTTGCTTTGTGGGCATGGCGAATCTTAATCAAATTTTCACCTGTTGATCTCTCTATTTTGATTTTTCCCAATTTTCTGCAAATAGCGCTTCCACTTTGCGATTATTGATGACAGATAACAATTCATAAACAAATTTAGGAACCGAGAGGAACGTTAGTGAATTGATTTAGTTTCAGATAACTCCAGCACGAACGTCTATAATTGTTCATATTTTCGAGGATACAGGGTGTCCCAGAACAACGTACATTAAATTCAACAGGATGAACTAGAGTTCAAATTAGGTCGATTGGGACCAACTTACCTCTATACGAAAATGCACCGTTGGGCCGTGAGAGGGCGATGAATGGAATTTTTTTTTAAT